AAAAGGAGCATCCCTATAAATGGTGGTTTTACCCACACATATATATTAATGCCATAGGGGTTTCAAGGGGGGTACCAAATGGTTTTAAGGTAAGAAACTAAGTTTGAATCTATTCTCCCAAGCATTACAGCTAATAAAATCTGAGGTTCATACAATAAACAGGGGTCCTTTTACTTACGGGACATGTATGACTCACCTGAATGGGTAAGTGCCACGCACATGACTGTTAATCCCCTCAAACCACACATTAGGACTTTAAAATACATGATAGTCATGCCATATTTGAGGATACTATGGCTGTAGAGACAGGTTTCTCTGACACTAACTTGTGGCTTGAATGGATGAAATACAATGTGAATAAACATAACAAGTCTAACTGCTATGTCTGCGGAGGAGCGAGGTATCCCTGAACCTTCCTCAGGATATGATGTATGCTTTTTAAGTCTCTACACTATATTTAAACCTAATCGGTCAGCATGCGAGTCATGGAAAATGAATACCCAATCATTACTAAAAATATTAACCCAGACGAAGGCATTACTATATATCCAGGGAACTATATGGGATATATGGTGAGATAGGGCGGTTACAATCTACCTCTCAGATGACCTTCCAGAATAGAATGGCCTTAGAGATGATTTTGGCAGGAAAAGGGAGAGTATGTATGACATGCTGTAACTATATACCAGATAATATCATAATTATTTTGTCTAAAAGTTATTATTTTAGCTTCATATTCTGTTGAACTGGTAGAATATGTACCCATATATGTACCCATAAACACAAGCAGGGTAATTTACTAAAGTGAGAATTCAAAGTAAAATTTAAGGCAGGAGTAGGTGAACTGAAAGCATAGCTGACTTAGACATGTTTTACAGTTGGCTATTTTGACCTAAAATTTGAAATACTCTTTGAATTCACATTGAATTCTCACTGAATAACTCTGTCAATATACACTTGGAGATTAAAGGGTCACTGTAGTCACCAGAACAACTATAGCTTAATGTAGTTTTTGATGTGAGTATAGTATGCCCTTGCAGGCATTTTCATGTAAAAACTGCCTTTTCAAAGAAAAGGTAGAGTTTACATTGCTCTCTAGTAATAGCTCCAATGGCAGTCACTCACACGGCAACTAGAGGTGCTTCCTGGGTCAGACGTTCAGCTTCTTCGGCATGAAGATGCTGAACAACACTTATAGAGAGATCCATTGATTAAGGAAATGCTTATTGGACAGTTTTTGGCTCCACTCCCTGCCTTACCGTCTTGGCTGAGACCATCAGCATTGACAGTTTCAGCCAATCAAATGCTTTCCCATAAAAAATAATTAGATTGGCTGAGCTCATCAATTCTGGTAATCGGAGCTAGCGCCAGCAGACCCACGCAGTGTTATAATAAAGGGTTACCCTTGATAAAGGCAGCCAGTTGGTGCCGAAACGTTGGGGGGTTTGGTGACTCGTGTTTCTGTCTTGAGGCTTGTAAGAATTTTTGTGGTAATTTATTATTATTTTATTGTATTTGCCCTTGCTTCTGTCACTTTGTTTATTTTTTCTTATATGTTTTCACTCTGGTACTTTTTTGTACATAATAAAGCTAAGTTTTTTGAGATTGTTATAGTGTGCATTCTATATTCTATATACATTTGAATATTTAAAGCACTTGAGGGAGTGTTTATATGGTTTGCACCTGGCTGTTCTTATACTATTTTGTCTCTCCATGTGCTGTTGTTTTGAGAATAATAAAGGGTTTTTACCTTATTTAAGGGGGGAAAGAAGATCCTTATTTTAAGGAGTATGGTGTGTTCAGTAACATTTCAATGATTGATTGATTGATTGATTCTAGTGTGAGACTTAGGCTTAGCTTAAGATAGCTAGTACTGCCAGGAAGGCCCCCACTGATCATCGGGCACACCAGGCAAATGCCCGGTGGGACTCAATGGCCACAGGCCTATGCCAGCCAGGGAGATCAAGGGATTTCCTTGGATGGCCTCTGTGGAGCCTGAGGGAGAACCTGGGAGAACCAGGTCTCCACCCTTTTACTGTATCATAGCATTTCTGCAAGTTCTGCAAGGAAACACTCTACATTCTGCAGACAAGCTGATTCTCCCACAGTATCCCCCACATTGTTGCATCTATCACCAATCACAACCCTTCTCCCCCCACTACTGCACCATTTCCACATCACATCACATTCCTAAGCCTACCCCCCCAGCTCAACCCCTCTACAGTTCCTAACCTAACCCCACTACTTCCCCACAGCCCCTATACTTCATCACAGCCCCTACCACCAATCACAATCCCTATCCACCCAATACTGCATCATTTTCCCATCAGAGCTCCTATCCTCCCCATTACTGCCTGTATGCCTCTTATCACAACCCCTGTCCCCCACATTTCTACCCCTATCACAGCCATCACCCTTGCACAGCCCCTATACAGTTTATATCCTCCACTTCTACCCTGGACCCCCCCACCAAAACTACTATCCCTTTTATCATAGCTCCTATCCCATCAAAGCCCCAATCCCTTGTAACGGATCACCTGGCACCCCGACTGGGTACCTCCGTTGAAGGATGCTCCTAGCGCTTCCTGAGTGCTCCAAGCACTCCAGCCGACACCATAACTACCGTGGACTCCTTCAGAGAGCAGGACAGGAACAAGCTCTTACAAGAGCTTAGTAGTGATTTAGCAAGGGAGTATAACAAGCATAGCAATCCCTTGTATCAGATTCCCCCAATAAGAGACGGCACTCCAAATTGAGGGTGAAGTAGAACTGACTGTACTGGCACATACAGCCTCTTTTATTCACATTCTACAAACATAGTACTGCCCACAGGGTTTTGAAGAACAACCAATCAACACATTACAACACAGCTAACACTCCCATTCATTACATCAGAAATCCTCCCCTCTGCCTGTGATACAATTATCTCAACACAATAGACTAACTTAATTATCACAGGCAGGAAAATACAGTATTATAAAACATACCACAGGGACCCCAAAAAATGCAATAACCCCATAAAAAGTATATATCCTCGGAACCGGGGGATCTGGGTGAACCACATATCCAAAATTCAACCAGATCCGTTCAGTAGTTTGGAAGATACGGTTTAATGCATGTATGTACGTAGTGGGCATTGGATAGCATTCCCTTCATCCCCCATAAAACCATAACTTACCCCTTCAAATAACGACAGACAACTTCTTGGAGAAAACAGGCCACAACATTTATTAACACAACCAAATACTGTATGACTCCTTTAACATATAACAAAATAATAAATATCATAAATTAACATAAACAATTTGCATATAGTCATACAGTAACCAAAGAAACCGTCCTTGCCAATCTAACTTCCCCAAGGCTCTCACCTCCCCCCCTCGGCATAATAAAAACATCTTCCTTTTCAGGGCTCCCCACCAACTCGGTGGGGCCCAACCATAATGCTCCCCACTGGTCGACTGACAACCCAGTGGGGACACGTCCAACCTGGTACCTCCTCCAGGTTCACCATAAAAATGGAAGATACGGTTTAATGCATATTCCGCATGTAGAAAAGTCAAAACAATATCTGTGAGTTAAAATGGCCACCATCCATTGTTCTCACCATGTGCATCTGATACATGAAATGGTGGCCATCCAGTAACTCCACAGTTTGTCTGGAAGTCTATCCAGCCGAACCAACAGATGAAACACATGGGGTACAGTGCAACAAACGAAGGGAATCATAAAAAATATGGACAATAGTCATATTTGTGCACAATCTCCAGTTTTGTCACAGGGCACAAATAGTGTTTTCAAATGCCATATATCCCAGGGCCATAGTCAGAAGGTTGGAGGCGGGCAAGCAGCCCCCTCCAAGAACACGTGACGAGGTCTGTTTCGCCACATCCCTCTTATCACAGCCTCAGTGACTCTTATCAAAGGCTCTAGCCTACTAATTACTGCCCCTATCCACACAGTCATTGTTCCACAGCACAGCCTCGCTACAATTTGTATTCCCCACTACTGCCCCTACTCCACAACACAGACCCAACCCCCATCACAGCCTCTATCCATGCCCCATCACATTTCCCATCTCCCAAATTAAGTCATAAGTCACACACAATACAGCCTGTATCCCCCACATACACTTTCAGCCCATATCACCACAAAAACTACAGCATCTACCCCTCATCACAGCCCCAAACTTCCCTATACTCTACAGCCTCTATCTCTTCACACCACAGTCTGTACTCTCCATAAACTACAGTCCATATCTCCTCATACACTACAGCCTCTAACATCATATACCTCAACCCCTATCCCCTCTATGTACTACATCCAATATCTCCCCTGTATACTACATTTCAGATCTCCCCCATACAGTACAGCCACTGTCACTGCTACATCCCATATCTCCCACTGCCCCCCATGCTACATCTCATATCTTCCCCCAAACACTGCATCCTCTATCCCCATAATGAAGCCTCTATCCCTCATATACTACAGCCTCTATCCCTCACCCACACACGACCAGCCATAATATCCCCTGCACACACTATAGAAATTAACCCCAAACACACTACAGAAATTACACCCCCACACACGCACACACACAAAGAAACAAAGCAATCCCTCTCCACACACACTACACCACTAACAGGCCTCTCCACACACTACACTGCAAACAGCCCCATTCGCAGATACACAAGACCACAAGCAGGCTCTCCCAACATACAACTCCTCAAGCATTCCCCCACACATGCAAAGCCAGATTTACAGCTCCACAGGAAGACACACAGGTATACATCGCACCACCATTTGTCTACCACACAGAACACCACAAGTAGCCTTCCCCCAAACATGCAACCTCACAAGCAGCCTCCAAATACAGACAAATTCACAACCAGCCTCCATATATACACACACACAAAACACACAACCCTGTCCCTCTTTTGTCTTTTGATATTCCACTTATGGGGACACCAGAGATATATCACCAACAAACACAGAACAAGCATTTCATTAGATTTACATTAAACAAACTCTTTTTTGCTTATGCCAGAACTTTTCAGCAGGGCTCTGTGCATGGGCTGCCCTGGAGGGGCATTAAACTGACATACCCACTTTGGGAAGTGTGCAAGTCATTGATGATGGCACAGCACACCCCTCCCTAGCTCTGCCCCACCCTCCTGTATTGTGCTGCTCTGTCTTTAAATGCCCTGGACTAATTTTTCTGCAAGTTCGGCCCTGCTGCCAGGGACAATTGATATACAGTGTCACGGAAGCCATTACTTATCACATCAAGCCCCTATGTAACTCTTCTTAAATTGTCGAACCCACTTGTTTCCTTGCGTTCGGTACTGTTAAACTACCGCACACCGACCACCCCCATGGCTTGTTAACTTCACAGAAAACACTTAACTCAAGTGCTTTCTCTGGGTGGCCGCCATTTGCATAACCGAAACACGTGTTCCAGTGAATGGTGGCCATCTTGTCTCCCATACGCACACAGCGGTACTTGGTCATAGAGTGCGTGGAACTATACTTCGGACACTGCCTCGCGAACCCTGGGAAAATTGCTCAGCTGTCTACTCCGTCCCCAGACAAGCCAGGAGAGTGCTGTTCGGGAAAAATACTCTTCCGAGTGGGGAGACAATTTGCTCCCCACGAGCCAGGGGGAGCCTTTGATGACAAGCAAAAGTTGACCGGCCGCTAACCCTTTTCTTATGTAACTATTTTGGGCAGCTGCCACGTGGGTCAAAACTTTACGGTCAGTCAAAACTTTACCCCAGTGGCAATTTGGCTATACTACATGGGTCTGATCATTTTTTGGACAACTTGGTCGGTCAGATCTGGGCTATCCAGGGATATCATGCTTGTGGGGGTTCCTATCTGTTTTATGTGTTTTGGGGTGTTTTGTTATAAAAATATTGAACCTCTAGTGCCTGGGAGATAATTTAATTAAGTAAAAGTACATATACTTATCTACCAGACACAGCGACGCTTGGGCGGGGTTACTATTGTAATGTATGGAGACCCCATGCTGGGGGTCTGTGTATATTCATATACCAAATTTATTGTTTAGAAAAACAAACCCACCATCATCAATGTTATGTTCTAATCCCAAGAAGAAACTGAGAAAAAGAAGTTGAAAGTTTTGTCCAATCCACCATTAGCAGTAGAGCAATGGTCTCCTCCACCACAACCCTTGCTCTCAACACTTGTATTATAGTACTCACATCAAGGAATTGGTGAAAACAGTGGGCTTGTTGCCATTACCCATTTTACCTTCTGTCATGTCCGCTCCTGCTAGAGTGCGCACTGGGAACCTTCGGGCTTGTCTCTTTGCGGCAATATTCCCATATCGCAAGGGGAATGCCGCAGAGTATTTACCTATTGTCACACCGCCCGCTGGGTCTGCTCCTGCCAGAGAGCGGACAGAGACCCCGCAGGTGCATCCCATTGTGGCGGCATCCCCGTGTGGCAAAGGGAATGCCGCTGATTACTCACCTCCTCCTGCAGCGCCTGCCGGCCTCACTATGAGCAGTCTCGGAGCTGACAGCCGCCCCTCCCCTCACACAGCGGCCGGGTCTGAAAACATTAGAGACACCAGCTGCTGCAAGTCAGAACCTTTTAAGGTTTTTAATTAACCCCTTAGTGCCTAACCACTGAAAATGTACGTGTGATGTCACACACAGATGTCACATGCTCCTCTACAACCAATCAAGGAGCACCTTAGGCTTTTTAAACCTTTTTTGTCCATTTCTCTGTGCCCTGTCTAAGTTTCCATTGTGGTTATCTGAGAGCACATTTCTGGTATTGATTCTTATGTATTTTAACGTTGGCTTTCTTACTGACTATTCTGATTTCTGTATCCCTTGGACTTTGGATTGTTTCCTGACTATTCTGACTTCTTTATTCCTTGACCTTTGGCTTACCTAACCATTTATGTACACTCTGTATTCCTGGCCTCAGCCTGTCTTTTATGGTTTTTTTTTTATAAATTAAATCTGGCCATTGAAAGGCCTGGTAATATGCCTTGGGATTTTCTTTATTATATTATATATATGATGATGATATTGCTCTTTCCCCTACCACTACAGACATTTGTTTAAGTCTGTGTGTGTAAGGAGGAAATTGGCTATGATAGAGAGTGTGACAAGAGCAATCTCGCCACATTGCATTGGAGGAGCCTGATTGCCCGCCTGCTCCCTTTAGACTATGGCCCCATGTTGAAACGCTTGATTTTCCCCTGCAAAGACACGAAAGCCGGGTCATTCGGTGCTTGCCCTGTTTGAGCGGTGATACCCCAGATAGCTATGCCATGGAGCCCATTCGTATAATGAAAGACTATGGGAAAGACTTTGGCTCCACGGCAATTGAACTGTATGTGTGTGATCTGAGCACCATTCAGTAATAATGTGCGCTCAGATCTGAGCTATCTGCCATCTTTATGCAATGGCTGCACAGTTATATATTTTTATGTATTTTATTGTCTTTTGCTGCCATGTGTTCAATGGAATTTTGCCTCTGTCCTTGGAGATAATTGGATTACTTCTCCAGGATAGAAGACTCTGTGGAACTGGTTTTGGGCAGAAAAGCCATGCTTCATTTGGTCACAAAGGACTATGATCTATCTTTTGAACCACTGGACCAATTTGTATGATTTTGACATATGTTTGTATTTGGAGTATGCTGATTCTGTGAATGTGAGGCATACTTTTAAAATTATGAATAATGTGGAAAAACTGTATTTCTCTGCCTGTGATAATTACATTACCCATTGTGTAAGGTAATTGTATCACAGGCAGAGGGGAGGATTTTGTGTGGGAGTGTCTGAGTGCATTGTACGTGTTTATTGGTTGTTTTCCAATACCCTGTGGGTGGTACTAATGTGTAAGAATGTGTATATAAGAACAGTAAACCCACAGCTCTGTCTGTTCCTGCTTGACCCTTAAAACGGAGCCTTATCTCGTTCTTGGGGGGATTTATTGTATGCTGTTCCAGTTCGACTGCTAGGAGTGTAAACCTATTTGTATGGTTTTTCCTATTCGGCTGTTTACGGCATTCAAATGCTTCTCTGGTTCGGTGGATTGGTGTCTTTGGTAGCTGTGTCTGTATATCTGGAAGGGAATGATCTTCTAAATGGCGGTTTAACCCCTTTTATGCCTGGGGGTGCCGTTACAGAGAGGAACTACAAGAAGAGATTCTGGAGAATTACAGCAACCCACTATTCTCTGCGACTACTGTGCACTTGCCACTTTGTCTTAGGAGACCTCTATCTGCAGTAGAATTGGCTCATTTAATGCAGACAGTTGGAGCACCATCGTATACCAGTGCCAGATGTAGTTCACCCAGTGAGATTATTATTATTAACACCATCAGCTATAAATCCACCAGCATCTTCAACAGCTACAAGGCCAAAGGTTGAAGCTGATATATAATGCCAAACCATTTGTTTGACAGCCTCCAAAAAGAACTGTAAATTGTGCCAAAAAGAAGTGAGTAGGTGGAGAGTGAAGGGCCATCTTATTATTGCCAATATAAACTAATATCTGCAAAGATGGGAAGAAAAAGAAAGAGCATGTATTGGTGCAGGCTTCAGGTCTTCTTATGCTGGACCTGATTCTGTGCAACCAGCTATCACTATTGGTACCTCCTCCACTACAATGACCCTTAGACAGAACAGGTGGGATGTTGAGCTTAGCACAACTAGGCGTGTTGGATGAAAAGCACTATTCAGTAAACATCGTGTAGGTAATTAGATGAATCACCAATGCACCAATCTACACATTTGTGGTCACTGATGGGTCTGCTAACATGTTCAAAGCTCTCTGAGATGGTTCCTTTGTAGGTATGCACTGTTCTGTACACATCCAATATCTTGTAGTGAAAAGAGCAAATTAGGAAGTCAACACAAAGGTGCGAACCATACTTGAGCATTGCAGGAATATTGCCAGGCATTTCCACCATGGTGTCAGGGTTAGCCAACATGTGAGGCAAAAACAATAGAAACGAGTCTTTCCACATACCTGTCTATGACAGGATGTCAGCATGCAGTAGAACTCCACTTGAAACATGCTTGGAAAGAATTTTGGAACCCCACTACATTCTGACATACTGGAGGGACAGACAAAGTAGTGTCTCTGAAATGGTGAAAGCTGTTTGAACGTGAGGACCCTCTGATCTAGTGGGATGAAAAGAATGTGTGGCCTGCTTTCTGTCTTGTTGTTCAGCAGCTACTGTCATGTCCACAGACCACTGACCAAACTGAGCAAGTGTTTTCTGTTACAGGAGACTTTCTAAAACCCCATGACTCACAAATGTCCCCTCAATTGATGGAGCAAATAGCCACCCCTAAGTTCAAACTCCTGAACACTGATTACTCTACACTTCAATTTCAACTAATGGAGTCATCATTTACTAGCTGAGATTTAATTGGCCTGCCTCTACCTTTTAAGTTGTTTATACATTTGCAAAAGTGTTCTAAAAACTGGAATATATTTTAAAAATTTAATTTCTCCTTCTGATGCTCCCACTATTTTAAATTGCCTTTTAATTAACCCCTTAAGGACACATGACATGTCTGACATGTCATGATTCCCTTTTATTCCAGAAGTTTGGTCCTTAAGGGGTTAAAGTGATTTCATCATGCCTGGCTAAATCTTGTGGTGTCTGCAACCCTTGCAGAAGCAGTTGTAAAAAGCTGATAGGGCATTGCTTTCTTCTACACTGAGGATGGGTTACTCACGGAATTCGGTTGATCCGACCAAGTCTGTATCATCAGTTGGAAGCGTTTGGTGTCTGGTTTACAAGCAGTGCTTTTTTCATCCAAACCCTATAGAAAGTATAGGATTTGGAATATGCACAACGCATTAATTTTAAACTGAATCAGGGCTGAAGGCATCCAGCAATATGCATTTTCACAAATTATGCAAAAGCAAATGCCCAATAGCATCCAGTGGTAATGTAGTTGAAAAACCCTCAGATTAACCATTTGTCAGCTGCTAATCACTGTGAAGTAGATATTCCGCAACATACATTTTAAAAGTAGGCTTGTTTTTTAATTTTCTCAATTTTTTAAGTTAAGGTAAGTGCTGGCTAGCTGCTACAAGGTTAACCCTTGTATTACCGTGGAATTTTTCAACTATTTACCTGCTGGCTCCTAGCGCTGCCAGTGGGGAAATTAAGATTTTTAAATTTGGACCAGGATTATAACAATCTGTATTTCTGCCGTTCG